AAGTTTATACTGCACTTCCCCTGGGCCGTCACACACACTCTAGAGTCTAGACAATGTATTCTGGCACACTTATGTAAACTGTATGCTGGCTGCTAGGAACAGGAAGGTGAGCTGAGTCAAATATTCTCAGGCCCCTTAATCATTGTGGGACCTGGGGGAGAGACGTCGGTGTTGAGTCAGAGACTGTCAGAAGGAGCAATGGAAAGCGGGTGTGGTCATGCACCCCTGAAATTCCAGCATTTGGGAGGTGCAGCAGGAGGGTGGCTAGCTTGGGCTGTGTAAAGAAACCCGTCTCAAAAAACAAAGCAAAGATAACAATGGAGAAATTCAGTGAGAAAAGCTGACTTCATGTCTCCACATCATCTGTGGTGGACAGCAGCTTTCAGGTCACCCTCAAAGCAAATATTCTAGACATCAGTACTTATGCGTTGATGTCACCAAGCATCCTAAACTGGGGGTGGGGGGATGACTCAGTGAGTGAAGTGTCTGAGGAGCTAGCAAGAGACTTGAGTTTGCATTCTCAGCACTCAAAACAAAACAACAAAACAAACGAGCAACACTAATGACAACAACCACAACAAAGAACTAACAACGCTAACAACAAACCTGTGACCTCAGTGCCGAGCAGGGTGGGGACAGGCAGACCCGGAGCTTGATGGAGGGCAGCGGAGCCAAAGCAAGCTCCAGGCTCAGTGGAAATAAAAATCCACAATGGAGCGTTGACTCAGGAACTGGAGAGATGGCTCAGCGGTTAAGAGCCCTTTTCTCTTGCAAGGGGATCTGTGCTGCTCTCGACTCCAGCTGCAGGGGACCCAACACCTTCTCCTGGCCTCTGCAGGTCCCTAAATGCACACGCGCATGCCCATACACATGTGTCACTGCCACAGAGAAGCATGGTAGACATTCAGCAGACAATAAGAACGGGTGATGTGGTGTATGTCTGTGACCTCGGCAACTGTGAAGCTCCAGGCAGCCACATGGCTGGCTGTCAGCAAAAGTTAGGACAAAACATGAAAACCAGAACCAGATAACTTCATCTTATAATGATTATTTCAGAAAAGAGGAGCAACCTCCCAAAACCTAAGGGAACTAAAACAGAAGGCAAAGGAGTTTAATGAATTCAACAAATAGGCCTTCTTTCCTTTTTTTTTTTTGAAACATTATGTAGCCCGAGCTAGCCTCGAACTTCCATCCGTCTCCCAACTGCTGGGATTACAGGTGTGCACCACCTAACTCACTGAAATGAAAAATCCTGAGTAAAATATGTTGAATAATTAGTTTGTATACTTAAAGAGACAGTAACAAAATCTAGCTGAGTTTATCCTGGGATAATTTAGTTCAATGTGGGAAAGCAGATTAATGTAATCTACAGCATCAAGGAGTTAAGGAAACAGAAAATGATATTTGATTATCAAATCAAGCTTTTTAAAAAACAGACATTTTGGAGGGCCGAAGAGCTGGCTTTGCAATTAAGAACACTTGCTGGCCGGGCGTTGGTGGCGCACGCCTTTAATCCCAGCACTCGGGAGGCAGAGGCAGGTGGATCTCTGTGAGTTCGTGGCCAGCCTGGTCTACAAGAGCTAGTTCCAGGACAGCCTCCAAAGCCACAGAGAAACCCTGTCTCAAAAAACAAAAACAAAAAAAAACAAAAAAAAAAAAAACCACTTGCTGTTCTTACAGAAGACCCGATTCAGTTCCCAGCACCCACCGTGTGGTTCACAACTGTCTGTAACTCCAGTTCCAGGGGATCTGACACCCTCTTCTGGCCTCCACAGGCACTGCACACGCGTGGCACACAAATATACATTCAAGCAAACACCCATACACATAAAATAGAATAAAGATGTTTTGGCAAAACAAGAAAAGAGGGACAATTTCTTTTTTAAAAGGATATATTAATACCAGTTTTTGGTGCTGGAGAGATGACCCAGTGGTTAAGAGCACTGATGCTCTTCCAGAGGATCCGGGTTCAATTCCCAGCACCCACATGGAGGCTCACAACTGTGTGTAACTCCAGCTCTGGCAGATCTGACACCAATGCACATAAAATGAAAGTGTTTTACCACTTTTAATTTCTCCTCCTTTCTCCCCTCCCCCTTCCTTTTTGGTCAAGATCTTCTGCAGCCCTAGCTGGCTTCAAGCCACAGCAAGCTTACTGACTCCACCTCCCAAGTACTGTTCCATTATGCTCTTAGCGGAAAAAGACTTGAAGCACTCCATAATCGAGAAGATAAAGAAACCCACAATGACTACTGCTTTCTGCACAAGGAGGTCACAGATTGCAGAGGAAGCTAAGAAAAGCAAATAAAGAGATGTACAAAGATAAGGGCAGTGGATACAAGTGCCAGGCCTGGCTGCTAGTGGAAGGCAGAGGGCGCCAGGGGAACCTCGGGGCTCTGATAGTGGTGTGCTGTGGACATCTGAGAATTAAGGCCTCAGAGACAGTGTTTTGAGGCTCGAGGGACGGCTTAGTGGTTTAGAGCACTGGCTGCTCTCACAGAGGACTAAGGTTCGATTGCTAGCACCCACATGGTGGGTAACAGCTCCATACAACTCCAGTTCCAGGGGATCTGATGCCTTCTTTTGACCTCCAAAGACACCAGGCATACAGGTGGCCAACAGATATGCATGCAGGAAAACATTCATATGCAAAAAAAGAAAATTAAATAAAAAATCTTAAAAAGAATATGTACATTTATGCCATATGTGTATACACACACATAACCCACAAACTGAGTTGACTTCATTTAATCTAGAGTTTTTAAACATACTTCAGTGTAGGAAGAAGGCCTACGAGGCCCAGAGATCAGCCAACCTGGAGTCTGCCTGAGGGCCTAGCAACAGGTGCTGTCATAATAGGTCCTGATCATGTCTAGCCAATGAGAGGTGACCACTCAATGTCAAGGAATCAGCATGCAGTCTGGGAGAAGGGTATATAAGGCTCTCCCTATTGCTAAAAAAAAAAAAAAACAGTGAGTCGGCTGTTTGCCTTTTACCTGACTCCCTGTGTCTGTGCCGTTGACAATCTGCCTTCTCACCCTGTTCCCTGAGAGTCATTAGGACCCAGCAACACTTCGGTCTACCTTAGTTTTGATTACTGTTTAGAATTAGGTTCTTTCTCTTTTTCTTTCTTTGTCTCTTTGTTTCTTTCTTGTTTCTTTGTTTCTTTCTTTCCTTTTAATTTTTGAGACAGGGTTTCTCTGTGTAGCACTGGCTGTCCTGGAACTCACTATGTAGACCAGGCTGGTCTCAAACTCACAGAGGTTTGCCTGCCTCCACATCTCAAGTGCTGAGATTAAAAGTGTGCGCCAACACTGCCAGGCGCTTTTATTTATTTTTAAAATCTATTCATCTTGTATTTTTTTCTTTTGGCTTTTCGAGACAGGGTTTCTCTATGGCTTTGGAGGCTGTCCTGGAACTCCATCTGTAGACCAGGCTGGCCTCGAACTCACAGCGATCTGCCTGCCTCTGCCTCCTGAGTGCTGGGGGCGTGCACCACCAATACCCAGCAATTAATCTTGCATTTTTAAGCTATTTATTTATTTATTTTCAGTTATGCATGTGAGTCTATCTGGGAGGAAATACATATTACTAGAGGTGTCTACAGAGGCCAGAGGCATGGGATCCCCTGGAGCTGGATTTACAAGATGTGACCAGTCTGAGGTGGGTGCTGGGAACTGGAGCTGGATCCTCCGCTGGAGTAGTATGCCCTCTTATCTACTGAGCCATCTTCCCAGCTACATATATCTGGTCTTCAGTTCTTTTTTTTTTTTTTTTTTTTTTTTGGATACAGGGTTTCTCTGTGTAACAGCCCAGACTGTCCTGGAACTTGCTCTGTAGACCAGGCTGGCCTCTGAGCTGGGCGTTGGTGGCACACCTTTAATCCCAGCACTCGGGAGGCAGAGACAGGGGATCTCTGTGAGTTTGAGGCCAGCCTGGTCTACAGAGTGAGTTCCAGGACAGCCTCCAAAACAATACAGAGAAACCCTGTCTCGAAAAACCAAAATAAAATAAAGTTATCTTCTGACTAAGACCTGAGTGCTACTCATCACAAATACACTGACACACAAATAAATGAATGCAACTTAAAAAATAATACTTGAGCAACACTTTAAATATGACTAGTTAGTAGTAATTTATGATACGCAAGGTCCCTTAATCTAAAAATGAATGTACTTTGGTAAGATAGAAATCCCCCCTCACAATGTCGAGAATATGCATTTTAGTATATTAAAGAAATTAAAGAAAACATAACCACATGTCCCTCCATCCTAACTGAGCTACTTCCCCACTCCAGGCATCTCGAACTCATCTGGTAGAACCAAACAGCACCACAAGAAAGTGCAGCTTTCCCAGAGAAAAGCACAGACTGCAAGGCCTAAACGGCCCTGGGCACCATGAATGAACGCCACTATTTAATGGCATAATTGTGTTTACACTATCTTGATGACTTTCATCAAAAGAAAATGGGGCTTCTAGGGAAAAAACACACACACTGGGCCTGGGAGACAAGGGCGCACTTTATGTCTGAGTCACCGAGAGGAAAACTCCACAGACTCTCAAATGCCTCTCCTCTCACCCCGCCTGCTGGGTATCAGCCCAAACGAATGTGTGACACAGCCGGGCAGAGGGTCAGCCTTTCTGAAGGCCTGGAGCTGCCGGGTTCTCCCACATGGGCTGGGACAGCTGCTTCAGCTGCTTAGACTCGGAGCTCGGCCTCTGACAAGTCACTGAGGAAGAAAGAGTGTGGCCTCCTGAACCACTTCTGTTGTGACGTGTCCAGGTCTCCCCATTATGGTGGTGACTAAGCAAATCACCTCAAGTCTGGTTTCTCCCCCAGTGTGGACTTCTGGTCCCCATGGTGATGACACAACACGAAACCCCTTTCCCATCAAGTACCCTCTTGCGGCTACAACAGGAAGAGGAAGCTGAGGCCAGGCCTCTCCAGTGGCAGCCTAGGAAGCCCGCTCCGGGGAAGTGAGACCACCGAGTCCTCTCACCTTTTCCACGTCCGCCTTGGTCACATTGATGTCGGCGTCCATCTTCTCGAAGTACTGCTGTGCCCGGTCGGCCTCCTTGCAGTCGCGCTCAAACCGCCTCTTACTCTGAAGACAGAGCACAGCCAAGCCAGATGGTCATCCATCCACCCTGTCACCTCTAGAGAGGCCCCCACGGGCACTCTCCCCAGAATTCACCCCCTAGACGTCGCCGTTTCCAAAGTGACCCCCTCTCCATTCTCTGCATGGGGTTTACCTGCAGTGTAGACCCTTAAACACTTTTTCAGGAGTGCGTGTATCTGCTTTTGTAAACGTGTGTGTGTGGGGGGGTGGGTGTGTGTGCATGAAGAGGTCAGAGGTCAACATGGGGCACCTTCCCCAACTGCTCTCTACCCTGCTTTAAAGATTTATTTTCATTCTGATTGTATGTGGCCATGTGCGCTTCTGAGTGGACTGCAGGCACCTTCAGAGGCCAGAGGCATTGGATCCCCAGGAGCTGGAGTTACAGGTGGTTGTGAGCCATCCAACTGGGTGCTGGGCCCAGTAGCAAGTGCTCTGGATTGTTGAGCCATTGTCCTCCAGCTCATAGACCTTGCTCTCAGGGGTAGTCTCTCCCTGTGGCTTGCTGATATGGCTAGGCAGGCAGGCTGGCCAGGGAGCCCCTGAGATCCTTTGGTCTCTGCCTCCCCAGTGCGGGGATTACAAGGCATGTGCCACTGCACCCAGCTTTTTAAGTGATGCTGGGGATCCGAATTCAGGTCCTCATGCTGACACTTTACCCACTGGGCCATCTCTCCAGCCCACTTTAAGCATTTCTGGCTCAGCACTTTGCTTGCCATGATAGTTCTAGGAACAAATTAAAAGGAAATACAGATGAGGAAAATCTAGAAAGAAGACTCGTTAGTGGATTCTGCTGGATTTGCACGTAGTGAGCCATTCAAACCCTACTGAGACTGAAGTAAGATGGTGTGGGAGGATGCTGGGTTAACAGCCTGCTCCCCACTTACCGACTCCAGCTGCTTCCAGCACGTCTCGATGTGCTGCTGGGCCTTCCGTCCATCATGGAAGTTCTGTGCAGGAGAAAACAGAGCAGGGTCAGCACCTACACTCCTCATACTAATGCAGGAGGAAAACCCTTCCACCCAGTTAAGTAGCTTTAAAGATTTATGTTTATGTTATATGTGTGGCTGTTTTCCCTACATGTATGTATGGACAGAGTGTGTGTGTGTGTGTGTGTGCATGCAGTACCCAGGGAGTCCAGAAGAGGGCATCAGATCCCTTGGGGCTAGAGTTACAGAGGTTGTGAGCCACCATGTGGATACTGAGAACCGAATCCAGGTCTTCAAGAGCAGCAACTGTGTTTCACTGTTGAACCATCTCTCCAGTCCCTAGGCAGACCTCAAGTATCATCTCAATGGAAGTGTCTCTGTCTAATATGTGTGAGGCCTTAAAAAGCAAACAAACAAACAGTGAACATCTAATCTGGGCAGTCCAAAGACACGTAAGAGTTCATGCCAGGTGTGACGGCATATGCCTGTAATTCAACACATGTGTTTGATGCAGGAGGATTTCCATGAACTCAGGTCAGACTAGAGTGAGACCCCATCTCAAAAAAAAAAAAAAAAAAAAAAAAACCCAAAGTTTAAATAAGTAGACAAGGTAAAGGGAAATGAAAACAAAACTGGTTACAAAGTTCCTTTTAAGGTTTTAGACGTAGCAATACTGAATGTGAAATTGAGAGTGCTTGCAAAAACAGGACTGCCTTACAGAGGTGCATAGATGCATAGCCACCACACCGGGAGGTGTGGCACATATCTTTAATGTTAGCACTTGAAAGGCAGAGGCAGCCACATCTCTGTAAGTTCAAGGCCAGTCAAGGCTGCTTAGTGAGACCCTGTGTTAAAAGAAAAAGCAATCCTTGGGGTCATCTTTTGAGTGGCAGTGAATTCTCACATTACATTTTCACCTCCTTGATATGTCACCTATGGAATCAGATAGGCTGAGGACTTTTGTGATTGGCAGGACACACACACACACACACACACACCATTCACATGTAGCTTTCAAGGCTCATCCTGTTGTAGTGTGTATCTATCTACCAATTCTTTTTTCTGGCTGAATAATGATCCACAGAATAGATGTACCATGTTATGTATCCACTCATTGGTTGGCAGTTTAGGGAGAATATAAACATTGATGCTATGACCACTGCTATGAGCTTTGTATGAGCAGACATCACATCTTGGAATCTTTTTAAATGGCTGCTTTAAAAAATAATTTATTTTTATTTTGTGTGCCTTGGTGTTTTGTCTACATGTATGTCTGTGTTAAATGTCAGAACCCATGGAACTGGAGTTACAGACAGGTGTGAGCTGCCATGTGGGTGCTGGGAATTGAACCCAGGACCTCTGGAAGAGCAGCCAGTGCTCTTAACAACTGAGCCATCTCTTCAGCTCCCTTTAAAAATATTTTATTATAGCCATGTGGGAGGCAGAGGCAGGTGGATCTCTGTGAGTTGGAGGCCAGCCTGGTCTACAAAGTGAGTTCCAGGACAGTCAGTGCTATTATACAGAGAAACCTTGTCTTGAAAAACAAACGAAAAATTATTATTATTATTACTATTGTGTTAAGGTGTGTACATGATATGTGTGGTGGGGTTGTATATGCCATAGCATGTGTGGGAGCCCCGGGGACTGAACTGCATGGCAATGTTCTCTCACCAACCCTAGAATCTTGTTAAACATACAGACCTCAAGGCAGGCATGTGATTGATAATAACCTCCAAGAACCCCAGGCAGCCAGATCAGGGCAAGTTGCCAGAAGGGGAGGAGATGGGCTCAGAGATGGGGACCAGTGGCTGAGCATGAGACTGAAGGTGACCCTGAATTTGGGTGGTGTGAAGGGAAGACTTGGGGGTGGAGGCTATTGCCTGGTGACAATGCAGGTGGTACGCTCTCACACTGGCCCCACCCCACGGGTGTCTTTTGATTAGTTGAGCCACTAGGGAGTACAGGGTCAGATCTGAATTAATAAGAAGCCCTGAGTCTTTGAGGTAGCTCAGTGGATAGCGCTTGCCACCCGGACTGAAACCCAGAGTACGAGGCTGGAGTCCCACATGGCAGAAGGAGAGAAGTAACTCCCGAAAGCGGTCCTCTGACCTGCATCATGTGCACACACGTCCTGGGTGCCGGGCCCTAACCTGAAGAGAGCTTATCAGGTCCCACGTGGAAGGAGAAACCAAAACCACAGAGCTGTCCTCTGACCTCCGCTTGCACACGTGCTCAATAAATAAGGTTTGCTGTCTGTCTGTCTTTAAATCCAGGGTGTCCCTGCCTCTGGCCTGGATTTCAGAAGGAGGAAAGAAGGGAAGCCACAGAACGAGAGGTTAAACAGATCTGAAGTGTTAAGGTTGGTATTTCTGGACGATTCTAAAGTCCAGCCCAACGTGGCTCGGGTCTCAGTGCTGGGAAGGACTGGCATGAAGCCTCGTCGTAAAGCGGGTGATTAAAGCCGGGACGCCACCAGGGATGAACGTTCTGGAAAAAGAAAATGCTACAGATAGACAGAGGAGATGGTGCCTCTCACTCAGCATCCTAAAATCACCAGTTCCCTTTAGCACACTCCCAGCAGGCACCAACTGGATCAGTGGACCTTGTCTGCATGACCAGAGGCCGAAGGGACTGTGCCTCTAGGACTGCCTGACTTCACGCCTGTAGTTGCCCAGTCAGCAGGGCTTTTAGTTTGGCTAAGTCCCTTGACCAAGGACACAGTAAACTCTGAGCTCCTACAGGGTTCACCCTTGACTTGAAGGATAAGGGACATTAGCAGCTCCCCCCGGGCCCCCCCCCGTTGTCCTGGTAAATGTTCTGTGTGTACACACACATGTGTCCCTGGGGAGGCCAGAGGGTTCGGTTAAGTGACTTCCTCCATCATTCTTCACTGGTTCTGCTAGACTAGTGGTCAGTGAGCTCTTGGGACCTGCCCACTTCTGCTTCCCGTTGCTGGGTTACAGGTGTGCATTGCTATACTAGGGTTTTACATGGGTGCTAGGAATCCAAACTCAGGTCCTCATGCTCACAACGCAAACGACTAACCCACTGGGCCATTTCAGAGGCCCCTAAATGCTCCTTTGATACCCCTCCCCTTGTTAGCCAGTCTAAGGCCTACTTCTTCTTGACTGACATGGGTGGCCATGATTGGCAGACAGTACCAGGTCCCCAACATCCCCCTCCGAGCAGTATCTTGGGCCTCCCCTAATCAGATCTACGACTCAGCAGAGTCCCAGGACAGCCAAGCACTAGGGAAGGCTGGGGAGGGGACAGGGCAGTCTTTTGCCAGAACAATGAAACTTTATTATAAGAATATGTGTTCTTGTCTCCAGAGGTCAAGTGTCACCGTTCTGGGTTATTCTTCAGTTAAGTTCTGAATATTCTACAAAATTCTTTTTTTTGGTTTTTTTTCGAGACAGGGTTTCTCTGTGGCTTTGGAGGCTGTCCTGGAACTCGCTCTGTAGACCAGGCTGGCCTTGAACTCACAGAGATCCGCCTGCCTCTGCCTCCCAAGTGCTGGAATTAAAGGCGTGCGCCACCACCACCCGGCTTCTGCAAAATGTTTTAAAGATTGAAATTTTTTAATTTTAAGCAGGGCTGTGGTGGCGCACACCTTTAATTCCAGCGCTTGGGAGACAGAGACAGGTGGATGGATCGCTGTGAGTTCGAGGCCAGTCTGGTCTACAGAGTGAGTTTCAGGGCAGCCAGGGATACACAGAGAAATCCTGTCTCAAATAAAACAAAAAAAATAATTTTAGATTTATGTGTTCAAGCGTTTTGTGTGCATGTATTTGGTGTATCACTTGTATGCCTGGTACCCAAGAAGGTCAGAAGAAGGCTCTGGAATCCCCTGGAATGGAGCTATAGAGGGTGTGAGCTTTCATGTGGGTACCAGGAACCAAATCCAGATTCTCTGCAGACGCTCTTAACTGGGAAACTATCACTCCAGCCCCATCCTTCTTTTTTGTTTTTAGTTTCTACAAACTCAAAGGTCTTGTCCCTCGGGCCTTCACTTTTTAATCTCATAATGGACACAGGGCGGGGCAGAGGGATGACAGAGCCTAAGGCTGAGAGTAAAGGAGCCAGGGGAAGGGCTGAGGGAGAACCATGCTGATCCCAAGGCACAAAAAAACCCCACTGGGGAGGACAGACAGGAAGCTATGCACAGCTCTGTAAAAAGGAAGAAAAGGAGGCCAGAAGAAGGCAAGGGAAGCCCTCAGGGGAAGAGAGAGGCAGACAGGAAGGAAGGAGTCCTTCTCATACCTGAGGGCTAACCAAGCCTGTCAGTGGTACACTCTGGGCTCTGTAAATCCCCCTACCTGGGGCCTGCTCTCCACAGAGGACAGCTGCCCCCACTTCCCAAGCAGGACAATACTGAAAAGGTCCCAGTGACTCGAGATTAGCCAATAGGTGGCATACAAATGTAATCCCTAACTCCACAGACTGAGGCAGGAAGATGGTGGTTCAAGGCCTGCCTGGGCAACTTAGTACAACCCGATTCCAAGATAATAAGTAAAAAGAGGGCTGGAGCTTCGTCTCAGTGCAGTGGTTCTCAACCTGTGGGTCAAGACCCTTGGGTGGGATCAAGTGACTCTTTCACAGGGGTCGTATACCAGATACCTTACATACCAGATATTTACAATGTGATTCATAACAGTGACAAAATTACAACTATAAAGTAGCAATAAAATAGTTTTATGGATGGGGTCACCACACCATGAAGAACTGTATTAAAGGACTACAGCATTAGGAAGGGTGAGAACCACTGCCTTATGGTAAAGTGCTTGCTTCCGTGGGCTCAATGCCCAGTACCACCCCTAACACATACATGCACAAAAAGGAATAACATGGGCAAACAGGTAAGTAAAATAAAAATGAAAAGGTGAGGCTGCTCTTGAGGAAAAAGACCTGCGTCTATCTGTTCCCAGTTTCCATGCTGGGTGGCTCATAGTTGCGTGTTACTCCAGCTCTAGAGGATCCAACACCCTCTCCTGGGCCTCTGCAGCCACTGCCCTCACGCG